CTCCTCTTTCCCTTTTACCAAAATCAATGCTATTGGCATTCTATTATTACTGATATCATCATAATTAGCGTTATCATTATCATTACCATCACAATCATCATTATCATCATCACCACCACTATCATCAAGACTACCATCATCATCAACACCATCATTTTCATCACCATTATCATTAGCACCATCAACATCACTATTATCATCACCGTCACCAAAAACTCGACGCAGTAAAAATTGAGCAATGAAATCAGTGTCGTCCTAAAATAAACAAAGAAATATGCCATTATTGAAAGCCTCTGCCAGCATAAGCGAGTATGTTTATAATTAATAACTGCCTCGCCATATTTGATTTACCTAGCGTTACGTTAGTGCCACTGCGCGATACACACACACACACGCACGCACGCACACATACACACACACTTTTACGTATATTGTGCTGGGATCTTGCAGTGGTATGATGACAGTAATAGATTATATCAGTGTCAGATCCAAAATTTATTACAGTACATTCTCCTATCTGACGGAGGGCACGTTAACTTATGCATCAATACTTTTTGGTCATTGTTGAATCGACTTCGCCTCTCAAGAAATGTAAAGAAAATCAATGTAACACTGTTTTTCTGCCTTCTACCGACACTAAAACCAACAAAAAGATACTAACAACGCCTTTGATAACCGAGAAGAAAAATATACACAATCAAATAAATAAATATTAAAAAAAACACCGAAATACATACTTGCTACTGAGTTTTCACATTTCACGAAAGAGGTGCTCACCACGGATGAAAAACTGTCGGCAGCATCTTGATACAACAGATATATAAGGCCTCAAGACGGGTCGTTGCCATAACGCGCTATCTTAATCTTTGTTCTTCCTACGATGCTTGTCCTCCTCGTCGGGGGGGGGGGGGGGGGGGGGGATCTGGAACACTGCTTCCTTACCGTGTAATCGTCATCTATTTGTTTCTTCTTTGTTGCAGGATCATTCTTTGTATCGTACGTCATTTTCAATATATGTACATATATATGTATATATATATATATATATATATATATATATATATATATATATATGTACATATATATATATATATATATATATATATATATATATATTTATTTATGCATATATATACATATGCATATATATATATATATGTACACATAAATATACATATACATATATACTCATGCACACACACACACAAACATATATTCAAATATATAGAGATATAGATATAGATATAGATATATATGTATATATGTATATACATACAGATATACACACAAATCTATATATTTATATATATTTGTATATATATACATACATGTATATGTATACGTATCTACACACACACACACACACATATATATACATATATATATGTGTGTGTGTGTGTGTGTGTATGTGCCTGTGTGTATGTGTGTGTGTGTACGCGTGTGCGTGTGCGTGTGTGCGTGTGTGTGTGTGCGTGTGTGTGTGTGTGTGTGTGTGTGTGTGTGTGTATGTGTGTGTGTGTTTGTGTGTGTGTGTGTGTGTGTGTGTGTACATACGTATGTATATGTGTATGGATATATAATATATATACATATGTATGTACATGTATATATATATGTACATATATATATATATATATATATATGTGTGTGTGTGTGTGTGTGTGTGTGTGTGTGTGTGTGTGTGTGTGTGTGTGTGTGTGTGTGTATAAATAGATATACAGATATATCAAATGTGATATACACATTCATATATATATACGTATGTATACATACACACACACACATGTATATATAAATATGCATATATATACATACATATATATGTATACATATCTATATATACATATATAGATATGCATATATATACATATGAACACACACACACACACACACACACACACACACACACACACACACACACACACACACACACACACACACACACACACACTGTAACAGGTTGTAGAAATATAGTAAAATAGTTACAACTGGTTGGGCAGTGATAGTGGTTAAACTGATTGACTCTTTATTAAGGAAGAGGAGTGCAACACGGTAAAGGGATAACCCGAAACGTTGCCTTGGGGCAAGCGCTACGCGCGGTGTCGCGTGTCCGGCCAGCCAGTCCAATGGTTCTTAACTGACATAAAGCCACGTGTTAACATATAGAGCCCAAGCGGCCATCTCCCGGTGACATCTTTCCCACAGCATCCTAAGGTGACCGTTCTGCAGCAGGGTCCTCCTTCGGTCCCGTGTCGGATGTCAGTGAACAAGATGATACACGTAAGAGCCAAGATGGTAAGAGAAAAATAAAGGTAACAGAGAGGAGTAGAAGTTAAGTGCTACTAGCCGATTATTGTTATACAAATTTGAAGTTTTTAGGGTTCATTTTTACTTTATTTTCGTTTTGTTTTACTTTCACAAAGATAAAGAGGAAAATAGGGGAAGGAAACATAAGTAGCGATCCGCAGGGACCCGGGGTGAACTACAAACCGTTTCTGATAGATGTAAGAGCAGCAAAGGAAAACGACAACGTCAATCCGCAAGGATTTACTTAAACCAATTGTCGTCACATGGAGAGGAAATGTCTGTTATCATGTACTCGTCACTCGTCACGATTGGCAAAATCGAGGGCAAAAGAGATTCATCATCGATCTTTACTCCTACAACTACAATAGCAACAAACCCTATTAATGAAAAAAGAAAAAATACCGAGGTAGACAATGTCTAACTATGCATGTCAGACTACGTAAAAAGTCCCTATACCCTAAATGCCAAACGAAATGCAGTGAAGTGAAACGGGAAAATCTACAAATAATCCGCTCTACTCTGCGAATCTGTGATGGACGCTCTTTACATTCCCAACGGGTATCTATCACGAATCATACGATCGCTTGGGATTTACCCAAAATATGCAAGTGACTTCTAGAGGGTGAGAGGGTGTGATTGATAAGCGAATATTGATTATAGCTGAAACCCTAGTACAACATTAATGAACGGGTATAACTATGGGTCACACCGACTCAAAGGTTGTCGATCGGACGAATAACTATTAGGCGATTTACGCAACCCCGGGTTCTATTGGGCATCCCTGTGCACTGGGATATGGGGAAACTCGTACAAGAAGAGAATGAAGTACATCCAGAGAAAATCACGAACGCGTTAAATTCGTTGCGGGTTAAACAACAGAAACCTCTAAAAACAAAAGAAATCAATTGATTACTTAATGAACAATATTCATGTTTGGTGACTGCAGAAATCTGAAATAAGAAATGTGGCTTATTGTCAGAAGGATAGAGTGAGACGCTGCCATTTCCTCTCACAAACATTCCCGCACTTTTACGTCGCGAATCCAATGTAAAGCGACGTGCCCGTGTGCTATTTGCACAGCCGGGTAAGTCCTTTGCCTCAGTTCTAGCCCATCCTCCTTCCCGCCATCCCTTACCCTCCAATACTTCTAATACTAATTTCAGTACCACACACACTGCCACTACCGTTAAACATCAGTCCTCAAATGCTGAAACTGATTCTGGTGAGCTGGTCCACCAGAAACGAAGTAGGAGTGAGGGGTCTATTGAGGAGACTCCTCCCAAAGTAAGGTCTTTGGAGCCAACAGTTAAGGCTCCAGAGACCTCAATGGTGACAGCTCCAGCTGCCACCACATCCACAAGGGCCTCTACTGCTAGGCAAAATGCCCCTGAAGTAAAGGCTCAGGTACATCCTTTGCACAGGCAGAGGAATCCTGAGCCTGTTCAAAAGACTCCTCATAGAGTCATTGGAGCCACCAGGCAGGGCTCCAGAGGCCACCACACCCACAGGGGCCTCTTCTGCTAGACAAAATGCTCCTGAAGCAAAGGCTCAGGTCCGTCCTTTGCCCAAGCAAAGACTAGTTCCACAGGTAAACAACCCATCAAAAGGTATTCCCAAGATGCTGGAGAGCGACAGCCTAAAGGTGTGGGGCGGACCTTAACCACAGGTGCTGCCAAACACCTTATGAAGTAGCTTGTCAACCTGAAGAACTGGATACTCTAATCCAATGAAATTGTCAGGGAATTCATGCAAAATGGGAAGAACTACAACATCTGATAGCTTCTTGTAATCCAGTTTGTGTATGCCTACAAGAGATTATGACCAGGGAAAATCGTCCAATTTCCCTGAGAGGATTCCAAGTTCAAACCCATTATGGGAGCTTTGATGATGGACCTCATGGAGGAGTAGCAGTGATGGTATGTCAGGATATTCCCTTCCAGGCCATCCACCTGCAGACGACACTGCAGGTGAAGGCCGTGAGAATAGGCTTGACACGACCTTACGCTGTTGCATCCATTTACCTCCCTCCACATAATCTCAACATAGATGATTTGGAAGATTTACTTGGGCAGTTGCCTCATCCATTTCTACTCTTGGGAGGCTTCAATGGTCGCCATCATCTCTGGGAAGACACTTGGCAGGCCATGGAAGACTTACATGGAAGTGACTACTTTCCAATACTTTTAGAAGAGGTGAATGGTATTCCAGCCAATGGAGTACAGAGATGGCGACTTGAACATGCAGACTGGAATCTTTTTAGATCAACTGCAGTATTGCAAGGATCTGTGAATGATTTCCAGTGTGTTCAAGATGCTGTTAATCACTTCACATCGCGGATTCACCTTGCAGCAGAAGCATCAATTCCCAGAAGTAGTGGGCAGTACCGTCGACCTCCAGTACCATGGTGGTCTGATGAATGCCAACAAGCTGTCAGAGCAAG